AACGAACTTGTTGCGGCGAGTTAAGCAAGCGGGGCTGTCTCTGTGCTATCTGTTTCTTAACTAAGTAATATCACGTTTCCTGCTCATTAGAGACCAGAGAGACTTTTTTTTACGTTCTTTATTTCAAACAACGCTGTTACACCACATGCCTGACTTCTTTGTATCTTCAGACAGGTGAGAACGACACACCTTGTCACCGTTCTTGCGCGAAGTAGTGTTCTCATATAGTTTCTTAAGGGCGAGGTTTTCGATAGGTTACCTAACTAGAAAGCGCCTTATGAAAGACCTAATACAGAATGTTTTTCCTGTGCTCCTGTACCGTTTAAAGTATGAAAAATCATTTGGTCATGACGTACTAAAGCGAGTGAAAAACATGTGTATACCACCCAATGTGAAAATCTTCTTTCTTAAACTTCACACGGGAACCTTGCCAGTAAAAACGTGGCTTGAAGAGAGAGGGATGTATGTACAATGGGGAAGCAGCTGTCTCCTGTGTAATAAACCTGAGACCATTGAACATGTGTTTATTGATTTTAAGAACGCTATTTTCTTTTGGGACATTTTACAGAGGACTTTAAAAAAAGATTTACCTCTTACTTCATATGAAATTCGTTTTTTGCCTTGTGAAAGTTCTGTGCAAAATTTGGATGTTATATTTTTACTTGGTCTTCATTCGGTTTGGCGTAGTATGCTATCGTACAGACACTGTGATGTGAGAGTTCTATCCGTTAATGAGTGTTTCATGGAAGCTGTTATAAAAGTGCGAGATGTGTATAAGACTACCGACTGTGCTGAAGATGTAATATCTTTGTTTGACGCGTTAGCACGCATGAAACACGTGTGATAGTGATTGTCGTATTAGCTTGACCTGTAGTCAAGAAGGCAATAAAGAAAAAAAAGGCGTGGCTCAGTGGTAAAATACTAGGCTGACACCCAGTGGAACAGGGTTTAATCCCCACTGTGCCATTGGTACTAGTTTTTTTTTTCTTTCTAATTTCGCGTGATGCGTTACGGACACCGGCGGTGGTGGCGGCGGCTGACAACTATGGCGCTGCGCGAGACGTGAGTTGTGATCTCACAACAGCTTTCGCTGTAATAATTTAAATCGAAGAAACTAAGCGCGTCCTGCAGGACTGAAAGGAAATTTTTTCATTCCATTCAAAACTACTTATCATACCGCGCTGTGCCATTAAAACGTCGGTTACGCTAGAAAGACGCCTAATAGCAGGCATCATAAGTAAAGGTTTATTACGTTTTACATATTGTGCAACGTTGTTCTGTGCTTCCAAGCATTGTGATTGATTTGATGATCAGAATGTAGTGACTGGGCAAGGTAAGCTGGAATTCGCGCTTACGTTCAGGGAAAAAACATGGATAGATGAAAAGTTTTGTGAAAGGCAGGGGAGTTAACGAGAAATTTAATGTTTGGTTTGCTGCACAGATTTTGAGGAACGGGTAAGAATTGGTAGAAAGATATGGAAAAACAGAACGAAAGAATACTTCAAGGGGGACGGATAGCAAAGACAAGTGTGCAACGTACTACTGCCCATCGCTTCTCTTATATTTAAAGCAAACTTTACCAAAATCCGCAAGTTGCTTGAATGAAGCTTTTTCTATATGTTTTGTGAATTTGGAAAGAAATACAAAGCCGTTTTAAAATAGCAATAAAAATATTATTTCACTGTTCGTATTTGTGAAAGGAACGTTTCCGAAAGAGATGTTGCATATAAAATGGCAAAACTTCATTTTGGTTATTCTATGTGCCCAGGGTATCCTTCTGAACTAAGTAATAATTGTGAGCATGACCATTGTTATAAGTTAAAATATCAGTGTTTTATGTCAAGAATTTTAGTGTATTTCTTTCAAAAAACTTTCGTAAAAATACAAATCTGGTGGCAATCAAATATTTTGCTTCATAAAAGGCCTATGATATTCAGAAAGAAGTCATAAGTTTGCATTTGACAGCTTCAGCCGTTACAAAGAAAGTCTTTCCTTTTTAGGATGAAAAGTAGTGTTCAGGACAAAACGCCTCTTAAAGATCCAGTTGACGTAGTGCAATCACAAGATCAGGCGTGTTTGAAGCAATTTTCAAATGCCTTCCACTGCGCGTAAAATCTAGCCACTTCGTGAAGGCACTTGTCAGTAATCGTGAACTATTGTGCCATAAAAAGGGAAAAAAAATCACATCACAGTCGTTTTTGCCCTTCATCCTACAACTAAACTGAATATGAAGAAAATGTAAGCTACAACTATATGGTCGTAAGTGCACACTATGGTGAAAAAACGAGGCATCTTGGCTAAATCTTCGAAAGGTACGCAGAATTCTTCGATTTAGAGCTTGTAGTTTCGCTTCAATATGAACCTTTGCTTAAAACAAACGCATATATGTTGCGGGAGATGAACATAAAAAAGGACTCCCGATATTTCACTTACGTAGATTTTTGCCATTGGAATGTGTGAAATTGGATGCTCATGGGACGTCGCGACCAGTGTTCCTTATTTATTCATTACCATGAATGGGCACACTTAAGCTGGGTCGCTTTACGTTTAGTTTTTGTTGTTGTTGTTGCCATCGTCATAGTCGTCGTCGTTGTTGTTGTTGTTGCCGTCATCGTCGTTGTTGTTGTTGTTATTGTTGTTGTTGTTGTTATTATTGTGGTTGTTCAAAGTCCGCTAAAAGGACAAGTTTTAGACGCCGCGTTCATGAAAAGCAACAAAAATGCATCGAAGCAACAAAAAGACGGAAAGAAGGAAACGTCGAAAAAACGCGACCACAACGTGTAACTACGGTAACGTTGTATCGGTTGCACTTCACCGCAAAAAAAAAAAAAAAACACAGACTGATCAAACGTGGAGGTGAATCACGCAAATGGTGGTTACGGATTTGGTTGACATGTTTCACTCTAGAACTATAAGACTCTTCCCTGGCAATATAGCAAAATAATCACAACCATCATCAGTAGTACACATCAACAACATAAACAAAAGAAATAGAAAACAGGATGCTCCCTGGATCATCTCGTTTTCGTTTTGTTTTTTGAAAAGAATTGTTTCAGTGCTCTCCGACTCTCCATTGTCAACCTTCAAGCGGTAGACTTTTGGAGAACTATAGGGCTGTCGGAGGAAGTCATGAAGCATAGCAACTGCCGAAAAGGCTACAAGTTTGCCTGCGAACATTTCATCAGCCTTCACGCCAGCCTAATGCTCCAAATGCTTGAGGAGGAAACATTACAGCTTAAGAAGTGAGTGGAGCCGAATTCATGGCTTTCTAGACTGCCTGAACGGTTTTTAAATCACGTAGCTCGCAACGTGATGCGGCACGCCCACATCAAGTGAAACCTCCAAAAAGGTATCGTAAAATTGCTAAACTACGTAAAAAGCCATGCTTAAAGCCTCATGAATCACCATTACACATTGTTGCATGCTTACCACGATTTTCACAGCCTCCTACACCTCCAATTTTATATATTTATATGACAACTGTGTACGGCGGTTGTCAGGCATTCAGTGGACGTGCGATCCACGGATGATACAGAGTACTAGTAGAGGTAGATTTCGTCTCAAGAGATTCGACACAGAAGCGGGCCTTAGTGCGGGATTGCGAACTGGTTTCGAGATGGCCCTATTCAGGTAAAACTGACTTCGTAGTTCAGTTTATCAAGCGAACCGCGTGCTTCGGCGCGTGCTTCAGTTGTTACTGTTACCTTTGATTCTAATCCAATGGCGAGTGAGGCAAAATGTTTTCTCTGTGAACAAAGTATGCAAACAGCTGCTCTGGAGAGCCTTATCGTGTAATGAATAATGCAGCATCTTTTTAATGTAAAAAAAACATTAAGATTTCCGCTAACAACAAGAGAACAATTTAATGCAAAAAGCAGCCTTGCAAGTGTTCATGACCTGCTACAACATCCGTGATTTTTACTTACTTTTACAAATGCAGAGAAGTTCCTTGAACTTTCTGAGAAAACGTCTTGCAGGAAGTACAAGCTGTGTTGAAAGAAAGGAAGGGACATTAAGGGAAGGCAAACAGGTAGCTCTGTTTTACTCTGTTACTCAGTACATGACTTTAGACAGCACGTTTCTGAAGGACGATGCAGGGGTACAAAATCAACATTATAAGAAAAATAAAACCAACAATTTTTTAAAGTGCCGTGGCACGAGAATCGCTTCATTAGAAATCGTACCACAGATTTCGTGGGGGAGTATTTTTAGAGTAGCAAGAAAACCCTTTAGCAAAATATTAATAATAAAAAGCAAACAAGGAAAAAATATTTATGTAGAAAAACCCCTGGAATATAATAGTGAGTGCACTGCATTGCAGCAGCGTTAGTCCTGCTTTGCCATATGAACAGGCCAATTTTTAGAAGATCTGAACATTATGCTTTTTCTTTCGAAAAAAACTTGCCGTCAACTAAAGGGGTGGTTATTTCTTTTAGTAGTTCCCGTGCAGTTTTCTGTTCATTTTTCGGCTAATATTTCTGTCTCACTTCTCCTGACGACGCATTTGCCTGATTATAGCTCGTGGAACGAAAAAAAAAACAAGAAAAAAAAAGAAACACGAACAATCTTGAAGTAGACAACACCGCTAGCAGTTGCGCCAGAGAATTCAAGTGTCCTTAATAGTTTTTCGTGCGTCCCCTCGTCTCTGGGCCACCGCCCAGGACCGCTGTTGCCTTGCAGAGCCTGACGCCTGCCGCTCCGTGACTACGTGCCGCGGCCTTACAGCATGTTTTCGGGAGCAACAGCCGTCGCTCATGCTGCCCTCTCACTTGCCCACCATCACTTTAACCTCGTGTTTCATGTAAAAAAAATAAATAAAATAAAAGGAGCAACGCGACCACGCACGCGCATCTCGCGGACGCGCACAACGTCACGTGTCAAGCTCGCCCTCACCCGCCGCCACGCTTAGAAAGAGAGAGAGAGGGTACAGGCCCTGCCCCCTCGCATGAACGTCCTGCGCGCGCGTTGGGCGCCGAGCGCTCAAAGCGCGCCCAACGCTCAAAGCGACGTGGTGTCCGCTCCCGCGCTCTTCGAAGGAAAAGGAGCGCGCGATCGCTTGAACCGACAAGAAAAGCGCCGGAACGCGACGCGACAGTGCCACACGATGACGGAGCCCTGCGAAGTGTTCCACGAGACTTGCGCGACGACCGAGATCGCAATGTCTTAGTCGCGGAGAACTCGTGTCAGCACCTCGACACTATCTTATATTCGCGCACTCCACCGACCGCACTGCGAAGTCCCCTGCGATGCCGCACTCGAAGCAACGGGAGTCGTCTTCCATCAACAAGCGCCGTCGCTCCAGTTTCGCGGCTTTCCACAGCTGGGGCTGAGAACTCCACTCGCAATTTGTACGGTGCTAATATTTTGTGCGGAACAGTCAGCATGAACTGGATTAGACGCTCGCCGTGGCGCGCCAGAGTTTTTGCGTGCGTCGTTGGGATCGTCTTCGCCGGAACACTGCAGGGTAAGAAGCCCCCGTTGTTTTCTTTACCTCTTAGAATAAATTGAGTAAAAATAATTGTGGTTGTGTTGCGCCACAAAACCACGGTTGTGAGGGACACCGTAGTGGAAGGCTCCAGAAATTTCGATCTTGTCGTGCTCTTCAACATGCACTTATATTTAACCTACCTGCCTTTTTTTCATCCTTATTTTCTCTCTCTGTCTCTCTCTCTCTACATCAAAGTACGAATTGTACATAGTCTACTTAACCTCCCCACCTTTCCTATATTCATTCCTCTCTGTCTCTACATCAAAGTACGGAAGCCTCCTTTGTTCCACAGAAATAAGCGGCCGATACAGCCGGCGTTTGGTCCCACGATCTTTTGGTCTGCAGTCAATCAACATTAGCATTAGACAACAGTGGTGTATACTCAAAAAAACATGAGACCCGCTAAGACTGCGCTACAGTAAAACGCTAGCGAAAAATATCTGAGGGCATTTTTTTTTCTTCCATTCAGGCACAACAACATGTCCTTGCTATGGTTGGTTTACCTAATATCGCTCTGTTCTGAACTCACGTTGGTGGCTTGCGGTGAATGGCATATTTAGTGGTTAATGGCAGCAATATTATTTGAGAAACACAAAAGAGTAGAGGCCTCACAGAACTCCTCTTTTGTGCTCTAATAAAGCTTCTTAGACATTGGCATGAGTGCAAACATTCACATGCAATCACATACGATGCGAATTGTTCCAAACTGTAATGTAATGATGAATAATGAAACTACTGTAAGGCCTTGGTGAACTAGGCAGAAGTAAACAGTGCTCCAAAAGAAAATTCAGAAGCATACTTGGCTCACTTACCTAATTGCTTTCGTGATTATTATCAGAAACATCTAGATCGTGGAGAGTTCCCATGTAGCAAAAAGTTGGGGTGACAATGTTCGTTTGATTTGTTGGCTGCGTCAAGACTGGCGCAAACTTCGGCTCGGGAACTAGCGGGGCTCCCCTGAGTGCGCGTGTTTTCCCATTGAAAAACAACGTGAGAATGAACGCTTAATTTGTTCTTCGATTCCAACGACTCTACACAATTTCAACAAGTGTTGAGACGCCCTGCAACGGCCAATGTGCCAGAACATCATTTAGCCTAGGCTGAGAGTAACCGCTTTGGTTCGCACAAGCATCACTGGCAGGAAGTCAATGTATGGACGTTACTGCTTAGTTCTTTTTAAAGTGTCTAAAAGGTATTTTAGACCACGACTCAAACGAGGAGCTAAGAACGTTACCTTGGCATGCTGTTTCTGCATAGTCTTGGGTAATAATATACGGTGTGCGCTTGGATCACTCAAACACATGCACCCACGTACACGTGCATACGCAATAAGGCTGTTCAAAGTTTAATTCGACGATTAGACTTTTGAATGGACACAACCCACCTAGTGTCAATCTATTCTTATCAATCTATTCTCGTCCTTATCAATATTGTTTTAGCTTATCAATCTATCCTCGTCGCGCTGTGTTCGAGGTGTTAGAAACCTATAACCAACTAACCCTGCTGCCAACTGCTTTTAAGTTCCACCGTTGCCGGTACGAATGGAAGAGGGAGGCAGAAACGTGGGGCTCAGATCATTACCCCCTCCACCTAGAGCCACTTGATCGGCGCCGCGCGGGCACGCGCACATACACTGTCACTGACTGGCCACGTTTTCGGCAACTTTCGGCTGCCTCCCCACCTTCCGGTGTCGCCTACTTCTCGCACGTCGCCCGCTGCGTCGAAGCGGCCTCGCGCAAGTGCACAGTGCCAGTGGGAACACCAGCTCCGGACATAAAACTTCTTAATTTACGCGCGGCTCGCCGGAGGCTCCAGCGCCGTGCGACTAAAACCGACCGCAAGGAGCACTGGACTCTGTATAATCGCCTTGACGCCGTGTGTCGCCGACACGCACGGCAAAGACGCGACCGCTCCTGGGGCAGTCTATGCGTCACGCTGGACGACCCGCGACGCTCCGCGCGTGCGTGGAGGATATTCAGTGCCGTCCTCTGCCCCGTTGAGTTACGTTTCCCAGCTCTCGCCATTGCTGTGGCACATTGTATCACTTACCAGCAACTGGCCGAGCTACTGGCTGACACCCTCTGCCTCAGCGCTCCTGAAAGCTTGCCCGAGGTTCCCCAACTCCCGCTGCACCATCGCCGAGAGTGGTACAAACCTCGCCGCTTTTTCCTCACCACCAGCATGCGCAATCAAGTACGTGCTTTATGCACTGAGGATTTCACTCTCGGGGAGTTGCGCCTGGCTTTGGCGTCGCGCAAACGGCGCTCAGCGCCAGGCGCTGACGGCGTGACATACCAGATGCTTCGCAACATCGATCTGTCCCAGCTCCCAGTGCTCTTGGCCGCCTACAACGACGTGTGGCGCACGGGGATAGTGCCGCAAGAGTGGCGCGAAGCCATCGTCATCCCCGTGCTCAAGAAGGGCAAACCCGCCTCGGAGCCAGCGTCCTATCGCCCTGTTTCCCTTACCTCCGCAGCGGGCAAGCTCTTCGAGGCCATGGCACTGAGGAGACTTGAATGGATTGCCGAGGCACTGGATGTTTTCTCGCCTTCGCAGTGTGGCTTCCGCCGTTCGCGTGCTACTGCCGATGCCCTTGCGGACGTCATCGCAACGCTAGAGGAGGCACAGCACAAAGGAGAGGCCGGGTACCTCATCCTGTTAGACATCAAGGCGGCATTCGACTCCCTGCCACACCCCACCATCTTGAACGTGGTGCGCGATCTCGGAGTGACCGGTCTCCTCTTCACGTACATCGCTTCCTTCCTCGGCGGCAGAACCATGCGTGTGCGCGTCGGTGGAGTCCTTAGTGAGCCGCGTCCCGTGAGTGTCGGTGTTCCGCAGGGCAGTGTACTCAGCCCCTTCTTGTTCAATCTCGCCCTGGCTGACATCGACGATTACATCCCCCGTGCTCTTCCCTGTGATGTGCGCGTGGCGGTCTACGCGGACGACATTGCGGTGTTCGCAACGGGACCTGTGCCCAGTGGCCGGTGTATTCGCACCAGTGTCCAAACCGTCCTGGATTCTATTGACGCGTTCATCACGGGCAGGGGGATGACGCTTTCACCGGCGAAGACGGAGGCGATGCTGCTGCACCCCAGTTATGGCGCCCAGCGCCACACACCGAAGTTCACTCTCCAAACGATCCCCATCCCTTGGAAGAGGCGAGTGACCTACCTCGGAGTGCAGCTGGACCAACGCCTCAACTGGTCACCAGCGGTCAACGACCAGCTTCGAAACGCGCGAAGGGTCGCCTCCGCCGCTCGAGCGCTCCTTGCTCGCGGCAATGGATGCACACCGTCCCTAGCTCTCCGCATCTACAACGGAATGGCTGCGGCGCGCATTTTGTACGGCCTTCCTCTCGCAGCGCTTACGCGTTCCAACTGGGAGACACTGGACGCAGCGCATCGTATCGCGATTCGCCAGTTTTTCAGCTTGCCCAGATCATCACAAATCGGCCCAACACTTGCTGAGGCGGGAGACATGCCACTGTCACTCCGGGCCGATCTTCGAGCGCTCAATCACATAGAGCGTATGAAACGCTCGCGCCACGGACAGCAGCTGGTATTCTGGCTCTCCTCACTTCCGCACTCACGGATGGGGCAATGCGCTGCGGCATTCTACGCCCTCATCCCGAGCTCACCGGATGTGAATGACTATAGTGCCCCGCCCTGCCACCATCGCCCTCTCAAGATTCGGACACAGTTACCGGGAGTGGCAAGCAAGCGGACGACGCCAGTGTGTGCACTTCGGCACGAAACTGCTGCCACTTTTGACGAACTCGCGGGACGACTCCTCGTCTTTACTGACGGTTCAGTGTTGAACGACGGGTGTGCCGCGGCTGCGTGTGTGGTGCCTTCGCTTGAGCTTCACAATCAGTGCCGCCTCGCCTGCGAGGCATCGTCGACGATAGCCGAACTCGCCGCGCTTGACCTCGCCGCCGACGCCCTCATTCAACTGAGAGCTCCGTCGGCTGCCGTTCTCTCGGACTCACGTGCTGCTCTCCAACTACTCGCGCAGGACGCCCGCAGACCTCCGGTTGCCACGCGCATCGCGCGAAAGCTCGAAGCAGTGCAGGACCTAGGATGTGATCTTGTGCTGCAATGGATACCAGCGCACGTTGGAATATCCGGCAACGAAGTGGCCGACGAGCTGGCCAAAGAAGCACACTCTCCGGGAACCCCTGTGACTACAGCGGTGAGCACATTCGACGTAGCAAGGCTTCGCACACGGTGCTCTGTCACCGCTCGCCACCCGGACCCACGAGTTGCGGCAGGGCAGCCACCACGCCCACTCCCGAAAACAGGATTTTCGAGAGAGGAGCGTGCCCTCCTTCTCCGCCTGCGCATCGGCTGCTACCGCACGGCGGAACGGGTTCACAGACAGTCGGGACGTGGAGACCCAAACTGCCGTCATTGCCCACAGCCCGAAACACTCCATCACATTATCTTCCAGTGTGAGGAGTATTCGGACGCGCGCAGATCACTATTCGATGCTTACAGCAAACTGGGACTCTCCACCAGCACTGTTGATGTGATTCTTTTTCCCCGTGCGCACGCATGCCTGGTGAAGCGCGCGCAAGCTGCCCTCATCACCTTCCTGAGGACTTCTGCGCTATTTGAGCGCTTGTGAACTGAAAGAACATTAGTGCCTCCCCATCGTTGTCCACTGGACTCGTATTAGTGAGTGCTACGGTTTTCCGTACAGTGTTTTCCGTACAGAGATTACGCGCTTCGGCGAGTGCTACACGCGCTTTGTACGACGCGCCAATCAAACCGCTGTCCTCCTCTCGATGACGATACCTCTCCGGCCCTTGGGAGCCTTCCTAGTCAGCTGTGCATGGCGCGTGGGGGCTTGTGAGTCCGTTGCGTAAGCAGAACGAATGACCCTCGCCTTTCTTTTCTTTTTTTCTCTCTTTTCCAATCTTTCCCTCCCTATATCTTTTATTCCCCATATCCCATTCCTGTGCTGACCTGTTG